TTTTTTCAGGCAGCCCTTGTATATTCTACATTTGAATAGAATATTTAACTATCTTTTAAAGGTAGTAAATGTAAAGAAAATCTTGGTTATATAGTTATACAGTTAGAACACTGGTATGAACATATTCATTATGTTAGTTTGCAAATAAGTATTGGAAACTTTGGTATAGCTAATAATAAATCAGTAGAGTTTTTTAGTCAAGAGAATTGCATTGTTTGGTGTGCCTGACCCTCTTCTCCCAGCTTTCTCTTTCTTTTGATACCACTCCTGTAAATATGTAAGGATGGTATGGGATTTGAAGAGTTCATTGTAAATACCCATAAATGGGTTAATGTGGTGGTGTACTGATATTTGTTTTTATGATATTGAAATTATATCAACAAATTATTCTTATATAGGCTTTAATCACTTAATAAACATGAATATCCCTCCAGGGAAATCTAACTCATTTGTAAAACAACAGCAAGTATTTTATTCACAATAGCCTCATACTGAAGTTTGTGCTATTCTTTGCCTATTTGTTGGTAGTACAGCTGATTTCAATTTTTCCAATCTACAAACAATTTTGTAATAAAATATTTGCACATAATCTCTGTATACTGGTGAGTATATTATACCTTCTTTCAATCTCTCTCTCACACACACATATACACAAATATACACACCCCTTTTGTGTATACATTACCCAAAGAATACACTGCGGGGTACCTGAAACACACTGTAGAGGAGAATATGGCAACAGATATTGCATAGACAGAGGCTTATTCCTTTCCATGCCTCTCTTTCCTCATTTCTGTGTTTTCCCATGTTGAAAACCAAAGACACAGGTATGGGCAAAAATAAGTTGATAGTTGTAATACAAATGAAAGCTACAATAATTAATAAATAAAACAAGAATAAACTTGCATACTCATGACTGCAAACCTACTTTTGCCTACCTTGTATGTTAGACCTTATACTGATTATATTGTTTCCTACATTAAACATCGTGAATTGAGAGGTAGGGAAGTCTCTGACCCTGAAAGTGAGCAACCAGCCCACAGAGAGCACCTGCCATCATTTTCTGAGATGTTGTCTGCATAGGGTAGAGCTTTGATAGAATTATGTTGAAAGAATATATGAATTTTGATATTTCATAAGTGTCATATACACTTCTGTTTTTATCTGTTTCTGTGTTTCTTTGTTTCAATTCATTTAGGTATTTTTAGTCTTTGTTATCTCTGTGTCCTCACAATATAATTTTTGGTTAGTAAATTTGAGTTCATGCAGATACTTCTGTCTTAGTATCTCAGTACTTACTGTTCACTTATCTTTTCTGAATTCTACTTGTTCTACTCTGTATATTACCTTTTTTAAGTGTTTCCTCTTACAACTGTAATTTTTACTTGCCCATATGTCGAATTAAATAACAGATGAGTAGTTTCGAACCTATTTTATACTTTTCCGCTACAAATTATGCAAATGGATATTGAATATAAATTAATTCTGTGCTTATAAACTAATTATTTTAATATGCACTATTTATTACCAAAAGCACTATCATTAATTTATATTTCCTTTATTATCTTACTGAGTGACAAGAATATAAAAGAATTCTATTTCACTGGATTTTATTCATCTATTCATTTACTCAATAAATATTTGTCAAGCACTTATACATAACATTTACAGAAGGTTCTCAAAGTGTACTTGTTGAATGAATGTGTACAATGTGCCAGGCACTGTCTTAATAGCAGAAACACAGAGGTGACTAAGATATGCAAGGTCCTTCCCCAAGGGGAGCTTTCATTCAGGGGTGTGTGTATGTGTATGTGTGTGTCTGTGTGTTTGTAGTGGAATGTGGAGAGTGATAAACAACTAAGATAACATAATGTCAGCTGGTGCTAGAGGCGAAGATCCAGTGAACGTCTCAGTAACCAAGGCCATTAGATTAATTATGAAGCCCTTGTTTTCACTTGTCATTGGACTGAGGCAAGGACCCTAAATTATCTTGTGGGGCAAGACCCCACCACCTGACCCTGATCCAGTGCTTCCCCATCATCTGCTTCTGCAAGAAAGAGATCCAAGAGCTGTCCCACTGCTGCCCCTGCACAGGTACCTCAGCCCCCTCCAGCCTCCCCTGTGGGATCCCAGGGTGCCTTCCTTCCCATCAGGAGTGGTGACAGAAGGTGCTGCCACCTTGTCAGACAGAGACAAGCTCCAACTCAGGGATGGAGACACCGAGTGCTCTGGGTGAGAGGAGGTTTGGCACCGTGGCTCCTGGGGCACAGTGTGTGATGACTCCTGGAGTCTGGTGGAGGCCGAGATGGTGTGTCAGCAGCTGGGCTGTGGCTCTGCCCTGGAAGCCCCAGAAATGGGCACATCCAGAAATGGGTGCAGGGCAGGGCAGAGTGTCTTCCCTGTGGGCCTGTGCTGAGGAGTCCTGGGGGCAGAGCTCCTGCCAGCACAGGGAGGATGCTGGAGTGAGGTGCTCTGCTGAGTGGGAGGCCCGGGACGTGTGACTATGGTTGATGGACGTATGTGTTGTAGTAGATTCACCTCCTGAGTTAACCTGCTGTTCTGTGCTCTGGCTCCAAGAAGGACTATTGCCTGATCGCCTGTGATAGAAGAGACACCCATATTTTTGGGACCTGCTCTGTGGAATTTACATGTTTTTGGCAAAATTAAGCATGTCAGTATAGGAAAGATCTAATGACCAGCTTTCTACAATCCTACAAAGTTATGGCAGCTGTAATACTCCAAAAGTTTACCAGCTACTATTTTATAAAAAATCCTTAAAACCAGGTTCAGTTTGGGTTGACAAAGCTCAGGGGAAGACCTGGGTTGGTCACATCTTGGGGTTCAGGCAGACGCACTGCATCTGAATGATGATTTCCTGATTGAGGACTCAGGAGATGACCGGAATAAGGTGGGGGGATAGGGAAGGGTTCTCCTGGGCTTATTCCCTCTCTGAAACTGCATGCACAACCCTCTTCTCTCCTCCAGCACCAATTCAGGCTCAGCCCCTGTCTCTGGCCTCTCCTCCTTACTGAGATCTTCTGTGGCACACTGGGGGCTCTTCTCTATCAGGTCCTATCACACTGGGGATTCAGCTGCACAGATAGAGAGCAGAGCACCAAGGTGGGCCGTAGGGATGCTAAATGATCGGGAGAGTAGTGGGAAGTGTATTGAGCCAGTCAGTTGTGATATCAAGGACAGTGTACAAGTATTGATCATCTTCTCATTATCTAGCAAAACTCTACCATCTCTTCAACAGACTTCAGAATTTGAAAGAATTGAGTCCTTTGTCCTGGGTTGAATGTGAAACTGCTCAATACTTTTGGCTTCCTTAAAAAAAAACTGATGAGCTCCTTTGTGAATAGTGACAGTAGAATTCACTGTGAAGTTCAAGATCAGGATCGGGAAAATAGGTCTGTCCTAAAGGGGCACAAGGCCAAGAAGAAGGCCCTGGTAGCGTGCAAGGGATTTTCCTAATGGTGAACACTGAATGCTTTGTCTCTTGGTAAAGGGAACATCTGCAGGGCAGTCTCTACTCTCATACCACATTCCCCAGCCTTATCTGCTGTCAAAGATGCTCCTGATGAAATTGTGTACCAGGAGATTGATTACCTTGTAAAACCAGAGAAAGATGACTTGTCGGACAGCGCGGGTGTACCCCATACCTACCCTCTGTTCATGAGCTGGCCATGGGTTATCTTCAGCAAGCACAGACTAAACCACTAACTCAGCCTCACACAACATTTTCTCCTTAACCCAGCAGCTAAAAGCCCTCTCTTTATAAGTCTGAAGTCTCAAGTTTCTTTCTGAACAATGACATTGGGCCTCATACTACAGGAAAAGTTTTTCTGTTTTTCTGCATTGTTTTTCTCCCTATCAGGTAACATGTCTGATGACTCAGTAACTAAGCTGCTGTATTATACAAGGGGCAAGGAGGGGAATGGAGATTCTGACTCTGCTCCAGACAGTAGGTCTTCCCTTGGGTGGTGAGGATGAAGAGGAAGAATCTCATCTGAGAAGAATTCCTCCTGTGATTAGGTTGGAAAAGATCTCTTCTCTCTAGTTCATAATTTTCCTCCATCTGTCCACTCTGTAACTACAGAACGGGAAAGATCAGACTGAGTTCTCTGTATCCACAGCTACTTCTACTCAGTTACAAACATGCAGCCAATGTATTATGGATTCGAAGGCCATTTTTTAACACATCTGAAACTGATCATCTTAAAATTTTCATATCAAGAGAAAACTTTGGGAAATATAGTTAAATCCTGAGATAGTATGATATTTGGATTATTTAGTGGATTATGTGTGTATTGAGACAAAAAATGATTTTAATAAGCCCTGAAAAACATTGGAGTGCTATACTTATCAAGTACCAGAGGCTGTTATTTATAAGGAACCTGAGAGAGAAGAATGTTCTCCTGGATCTTCTCCAAATGATAATGATGAACAGCTCTCAGAATGAACCCTGCCCAGAAGAGTTCCTGGGGATTAGATCCTGAGGTCAACTGAGTTTAGTGGGAATTAAAACCCAGACCTTCTGTCATGAGGACCTATGGGAAATCCTATCTTTGAGTGGCCTCGATCCAGGCTTCCCTCTGCCAGCTCTGTGTCTCCCACATCTTCAGAAGGTGCATGGACAGCCTGGGTTTTCTTGGTCCAAATGCCTCCTCCCTCAGTCACTGATTTGTGTATATTATATGTTACAACTCTGTACCATATGCTTGAAAATAGTACCTGAAACTCATAGCAAAATACATTTGTTTATGTTTTTTGTATAAGAACCCATGTTAGAAAAGTATTACTGACCTTGATATACTGGAATGTTTAGAAGGTATAAATAATGTCTGAGAATATTGAGATAAAATATATACCTTTGAGACAGTCATGGAATATGGTAACTATATTTATTAGCTATTAGAATCTCTGCATCAGAATGGACTTAGGGCGTCACCTTGTCAAAACATACTTTGTTATTCACTTAAGTCCTTGTCTGTTTTCAGAGCCTCCAGGACACGTCAATTCCATAGGAAACAGTTATGATGATGTTGAAGAGTTACCTGCTCCTGAAATTCCCTCTCCCCCTTACATGAGTGAGAATTATTTTATCCCAAAAGAGGGAGGTGATGTCTGGTATCCCCAAAGAGGTGAGTGGACAGCCTGGCCTCCAGTAGCCTCACTTCCTTGTGATGGAAAAGATGAGTGTGGAGTTACCAATAGTCATTTTTTCTTCACTTGGATACTTAGATAAGATTAGCTCTTCTCTATCCCAGGTATATTATAACCAGTCCACCTCCTCTGAGAGGAGAAACAACATACTGTATTCTCTGGGTTCATGTCCACCATCAATGGATGTAGACATGTCTATTCGTTGCAGAGGCTTTGTTCCAATTTTACACCACAGACTGAAATATATGTTCTGACAATACATTTGGGGTCTCATTTAGATTGTGAGAAGAAATCTGGAAAGTTTTTTAATATCGATGTAAATTAAATTTGTGAGCTACAAAAAATTTGCTTTGGGAGAACCATGTCACCAAATGTTTTAAGTTTACATGCCCACTATTAATGCAGAATATGCAGTGGCCTAAACTACAGTCATAACATCTTAGCACTGAAAGGAAACTAAAATACAATTTCCTCTCAATGTTTCAATTGGAAAAAACCTTCATTCCTTAGGACTAGGCTTTCTGTTTATATGTGAGCATGTGGTTCCTAGGCTGCAGGGGGATTTGGTTGAGCTGCTCCCTTTCAGCATCTGACAGAGGACCCAGACTGTTCTCATGAACACTTTGAGGCAGGTGTGGTCTGCTATTGAGGTGTTCAGGAGAGGTCATCTGAGATGCTCTGGAGAGGTCATCTCCTGCCTCCATTTCTTAAGAAATCGGATCACTGGTGTGGAAGTGAGCATTCACATCTCTTTTCCACTCCTTGCCATTGTTTGTCCACCTCTTTCAAACTGTCAAGATCAAGATACTAGTACACAGTCACTGAATCAGTCTAAAGTAGCTCTGTCTAGCCTTCCATACAAGCGCTGGGCCCCAATACATATTTTGTGCCTACTTTGTAGTAATCTCCTTCCACCAGAGGACTCTGTCTTGTCTTTTTCTCACCACTGAAATCTTGCTGTTTCAGGCATCTCTCTACAGTCTCCTGGTGAAGCTGTCAACATTAGCATGAAAGAAAAAGGATCCTCATCGTTGTTGAGACAAGACCCTGGGTATGATGATGTTGAGCTTAGCACCATGTAGTGCCATTCTTGGAGCAAGTAACTCTTCGAAGAATGCTACTTAATATTGTTTTTAAATAAATGACAGTGCTGACTTCTTTGTTATTGTAAAGTTTATACTTGTACCTATAATGAAAGGAAATTATTCATAGTAAATACTCTGAGCTTCATAGATGAATGCCATTCTTTTAAATGTCTAGGTATTCTCACCCCCACTGACCTTGGAAAATTGAGTCTATGAATATTCTTCTTTTCTCAAGTGAAATCTCAGTGGAAAAATCAGTGTTGTCACCTCCCCTCAGGCTGCACTCTCACCTTCCTTTAGGAACAGAGACGTTCACACCTTCCTTGAATAGCATAAAGCTCTGAAATCTGGACCTGAACTGGAAGCTTACTCTTAGGAAGATAAACTCAGAAACACACACTTGAATATTCCAATATATATCACCTCTCTCTAAAACCTAAAAGAGACGTTCAAAGTGACGACTGGTAGGTAGAGGGGTAATGGTGGCAGCTAATCTAATTTGGCTGAAATTTTTATGGAATATTAATAACAAACATCTACTACTACACAACAATATCTTTTACTCTAACTGCTTTTTCTCTTTTTTAGTTATTCACTAACATCCTAAATCTCCATCTTCTCCAACAAACTGTATCTTTTAGTGTTCATAAATCCTATTGTTTTCTATCCTTTTTTACCATTATCTCTTTCCATTCTCTTCTCTCGCTGTATTTGTATAGACACCAAACAATTCTAACCACCCCTATTGCAAGAGCTTAAGTGGCTGTATTTACTTTCAACTCTTCTCATCCCAAGCAACTGCTACAGATTTACTGGACCTGCATCAAAAGAAAAGGAGAGAAGGGAGAAGAGGGGACAGGCAAGCCAAACAATGTAATTCTCCTGCATAAAAAACACCATTGGTTTACTATCAGCTATACCAAAGTTTCCAAAATGCAGTAAGTTGCATACCAGCATAATGAATATTTCCATACCTGCATTTTAACCATATAACTATATAACCAAGTAGTAGGCTATATATTACTACCAAAAATATCTATAAAACTTTGGAAAGTGTTCTGATGTTAACAAACTATATGTATATTTATTTTCCCAAAACTCTCCATGTACTACATGAAATCAAATTTGGGAAATAGTACATTACATTAGAAAGCTCAAGAGCAATAGCTTATGAGGCTCTTCACATTTTGAACTGTATTTCTTTATCCTCATTAGCTAGCTCCCTACAGTTATTTTAGGAACAAGCAATATTGAACAGCTCAGCATTTCCTAAACCATCAGGTTCTGTTGAAACTCTGTGTTTTATACAGTTTTCTTCTCTCTAAAATGATGTTTTTCACTCTACATTCTTTATCTCTTTCTCTCTCATCACTCCCAATTTTAAATAAGTTGTCATTTTTTGCTCATGTCAGTTCAATAAGTTAAGCTGGTTTAGTGTAATAATCAAGTGCTTAATGAGATAGAGTTCTGCTGGAGAATTTTATATATTATATCCTTTGTATTCCCAAAATCATTTATTTAAAAAGTGAACAAATTTCTCACTTCAGAGAATAAATTTCACTGTTTTTACTACCACTTTTGATAGGTACATGTATTCAATGAATATTATCTGACTCTTGTTATTGCATTTCCTTTTTCCTGAAATGGTAAACCAAAAGCAGATTCTATCTGCTATGCCACATATTTCAAACACAAGGGACAAACAGAAGCAATGTTCACTCTAGCTGACCAGCAATAAGCTTTTAGAATCTCTGACTTCATTCAGTCATCAAATGAGGACTATGACAACTTCATTAATTGATGATCCTAGTTTCTTTGTACATCACTTTTCACATTTTCTCATATCCTGCTAGAAATGTTTGACAAGATGTCCCTAACTGGTAATAGCTCCCTGGACACAATCTGAGTCTTAATCCTGCAGAGTTGTCTTAATTAAACTACATTGAATGAATTTCCCAATAAAGAAGACTTAGCTTCCATTAAGAAGAAATAAGATTGAAAGAGAAGTAACACCTGTTTACTAAATCAGAATCTGATTATGAATAGGAGCATAAAGAAATAGCATGTCTTTGAGATGCTGAAGATCCTCCTATTTTCAAGAGAGTTTGAGAGATTGACTTTACATCAACCTTTGTGTGAGGACAACTTTCCTGTCACTGTCTCCTCTGAACTAGGGGTATATCAACCCCGTTAACCCCAGGGTCAGCTCTGTGCCAGAATCAGGTAGGTAGATCTGGAAAAGGTGCGGAATGTGTTTTCCATTTAGACATAAACCCAGGAATAAATGTACAACAAAAATCAATATCCAAATTAGAACAAAGGAAATAAACTGAAGATCTGCAGAATAACATTCTTTGACTTCCATCCTCTGCCAATCAAGAAAAGAATCATACACAGCCTGACTGCTGCGTGCAGAGTGACTAGATTAACAACTGAATGAGATGGCCACAGACAGTAGATTCCTGGAAGTCTCCAATAGACTGCTTAAGGTCAGACAGGGTCACCATCTGACATCATCAGAGGCAGATCCAGAAAGAAAAAACAGCTAGAGCAAATGTAAAAGACATCCAAAGGCCAGCCAGTTCAGGAGATCAAGGAGACCACACCACTGAATCTCACACGTCTCCTACCATAGAAGTTCATACCACAAAGTCAGGAAGTAAAGATAGATCAATTTAAGAAGCAGAAGCAAAAAACAAGATTCTCACAAATCATGAGAAGACAAAGAAACACCCCCCAGTCACAGAGAAAGGAGGAATCCCAAGAAAGAGAACTAAATGAAATAGAGGCAAGTAAACTATCAGATATTGAGTCCAAATCAGTGGTTCTAAGGAAGCTGAACTAGCTCAATGAGCCCAGAGAGAATTACCAAAACTTAGAGGGAAACTAAGAAGAACTTACTGCAAACTATATCAGTATGAAAAAGGACATAGAAACTATCGATAAGAGACAAAAGGAAATGAAGAATACCATTCCTGAATTGAAGAACACAGTAGAAGGAATCAAAAGCAGGCTAGATGAAGACAGGATTGAATCAGCCAGCTGGAGGACAAGGTAGAAAAAAGCTCCCAGAAAGAGCAAGAAAATGAAAAAAAACTTGAGTGAAGAGGCGTATAGGGAAATGCAGGACAACCTGAAACATAATAATATCCATATAATAGGGATACCAGAAGGAGGAGAGGAGCAATGGATAGAGAGCCTGTTTGAAAAAATAAAGATGGAAATCTTCTCTAATTAGAGGAGAGAAAAAGTCACACAAGTCCAGGAAGCACAGAAGGTCCCATTTAAAGTACCTGATGGGGCCCACTCCAAGACACATCACAATTAAAATGGCAAATATCAAAGTCAAAAAGAGAATCTTAAAGCCAGCAAGAGAGAAGGAGTTAGTGGCATACAAGGGAACCCTGATACAGCATGCAGGTGACTTTTGCTACAAGCCAGAGGGGAATGGCAAGAAATATTCCAAAGGATGAAAGCAAAGGCCTGCAATCGAGCCTACTCTACCCTGCAAGGCTCTTAATTAAAATGGAAAGCAAAGTAAGGAGTTTCCCAGACAAATGAAGGCTAAAAGAATACACTTCCACCAAACCAGTACTGCAAGATATGCTAAAGGGACTGCTTCAAGAAGATGGAGATAAAGAATGAGAAAGAGAGGAACACGGCTTCAAAGGGAAAAAAAGAAAAAGTACCTATCAATAATGTCTTTAAATGTAAATGGATTAAATGCTCCAATCAAAAGACATAGGGTAGCTGAATGGATAAGGAAACATGACCCACACATATGCTGCCTACAAGAGACCCACCTCAGAACAAAGGACATACTCAGACGGAAAATAAAGGGATGGAAAAAAACTATCCCATGCAATGGACAGGGGAAAATAAGCAGGGATAGCAATATTTATATCAGACAAAAGAGATTTTAAAACAAAGGCCATACAAAGAGACCCAGAAGGATACTTCATAATACTCAAAGAAGAATCCACCAAGATGACATAAACATTGTAAACCTCTATGCACCAAACATAGCAGCACCCAAATATATAAGGAAAATCTTGGAGGTTTTCAAGAAAGATATCGACAGTAGCACACTGATATTAGGGGATTTTAACACCCCACTGTCAACAATAGATCTTCCAAAGCAAATATCAACAAGGACATTGTGGAACTAAATGGCACATTAGATCAAATGAACTTGATCAATATACATATAGAAACTTGCATCTTAAAGGAGTTAAATATGCATTATTTTCAAATGCACATGGAACATTTTTAAAAATAGACCGCACGATAGGACAGAATACAAGCCTCAACAAATTCAGAAAAATTGAAATCATAACAAGTATTTTCTCAGACCACAAGGACTTAAAACTAAAAACCAACATCCTGGAAAAAACTCAAAAACATTCAAACTCATAGAGACTGAATAGCGTGCTATTAAACAATTAATGGGTCAATAATGAGCTCAAAGAAGAAAAAACATTTATGGAAACAAATGAAAATGAATACACAACAGTCCAAAAACTATGAGACACTGCAAAGGCAGACATAACAGGGAAGTTCATAGCCATATAGGCCAACTTTAAAAAGATAGAAACATTTCAAATAAACAACCTAACACTCCATCTCCAAGAAGAGGAGAAACAACAATAAACAAAGCCCGGAGCAAGTAAAAGTAAGGAAATAATCAAGATCACAGCAGAAATGAATGACATAGAGATTGAAAGAACAATTCAAAGGTTCAAAGGTACTTATTTTTTTGAAAAGATAAACAAATTGAAAAGCCTTTAAGCAGACTCACCAAGATAAAAAAATAAAGAGTGAGGAACCAAATAAATAATATGAGAAATGAAAGAGGAGAAATTACAACAGATGCCATAGAAATACAAAGGATTGTAAGAAATTACTATAAACAATCGTATACCAAGACATTTGAAAACTTCGATGAAATGGACAAATTTTAGAAAAATATAACCTTCCAACACTGAATGAAGAA